GGTTTTTTCCTATTTTCACATTCGTTTGGTATTTTCTAATGTTAGCGCTCACTAGGATTTTAGTTATATCTTATGTGAATATTTCCAACATGTCGTGTTATTCATCATCGTATATATAATTGTGATTCTCTGATAATAAATAAGAAAAATGCCGAGTGGTAGTGTGAAATCATCTTTGTTCAATAACATATTGGACTTGAGAAAATATCAAACCTAACATTGGTGCACTAGCCGACTGTTTGTCAATTCAACATCACAAACAAATTCAGATTCCAATATGGCACAACACGCATTCGATCATTGGTTTAACCAACTCGCTGATCCATCGTATACTGATCAATGTAATCGAAAGAAAAAGCTTCGTCAACGAAAATCACATACTGGAAGTTTTCAAGTCGATGAAGACGTTTGGGTTCGTCATCCAAATGACGAGGTGATGTACACATAGCATCAGTAATCGCTGTCAATACTTATCATCATACCTGTCGCGTAGCATTCGTCGATGATGGTCAAACATTCGATTTACCAGTTATTCATCTTTGTCACGTTACTCGGGAAGATATTCGATGTAATCGTTATGTTGATTATGGACAAGGCTGAACAGAATACACAAGCATCGGCACTATCAATACATATGGTCGATACGGTGAACTAGAGCAGGTACAATACATGGGCACATCAGAAGATGTTTTCAATGATTGCTTCACAGTTGAAGACAATAGCTGCATCAACAATGGTACCAGTGATGATAAACCATTATCAAATAGTATAACTCAACAACAATTGCTTGCTGATAATTATAAAAATTATGCTATCATATTATGAAGAGAATAATATACAATTACCCGAAGCTTTGGCAAATATCAAGAACCAAATCTTCCCAACTTTTTGTCCAATTCCCACAAAATGTAATACATCAATTAATAATCCATCACTTGAATTAGTTGATCAACAAGTGTTTTTCGACAATATACAAGATGAAAAACATCAACCATCAATTTCAATTACGGACTCACAAGATTTTCCTAATTCTAAAGAAGTTGGCACTCAAACTGAATCGAATATATTATTATCAATAGTTGATATTGATCAAAGGTAAAAACCAATAGTTATGGCTGATTGTAACTAACCGACAAAATATTATCGTACTCCAGCAATTGGTACAAAGAAGAGAAAGAAGAAGTGCTCATCGAAGCCTTCTAAGTGGATACCGCAACATATTTTGTCCACAACAATTTCTGTTATTGGTAAACAATACAACTATTGGTCAACATTTTATTTCAACAATTCATGTCTTTATGCTTTTGGGAAGTTCTTATTAATTATTCATTCTGATATTGTGATACATTACCATCTATTAACAGACTCAACAACTACAGATAATATTAATTCTACGACAACCACAAAATTACATATGGTTTCAATTAATGTTATATGTCAAGGTGCTATTGCATTATTCTTCGGTATTCTGCCATTGTCTTCCATCTTAAATGGACCTAACCGATCTTCGTTTGAATTATGGTTTTATCCATTTACTGTTCCATAATTTCATCTTCGAACTTCAACTATACACACTGGAATGGACCTCGGTATCGGTATGAAAATTTTCAATTAGCTACTATGAATCGCTTCGAATAAATCAACAAATTAGGTTATTGAACGTTAACATCATATACATCCATTAAGTCTACATTAAAAATGCAAATGTGTCAAGAATCCGGATTATTGCATAAATGACATCTTATAATACAAACAGCAAATACAAGTTTCCAAGTGATCATTCAAGTAATTTTCAACTATGTGAGTCGCATATATAGGAAGTAGGTGGCAGATGCTTCCCGGCTCTCTCCGTAGTTAAAATTAGATTTTCAAAGTTTTCTTAGTAGAAAAACTGTGACGTGTTTTCTTGTCGAGACTGTCGTTTTTATTTTTGTTATTGTTGTAATGATGAGCGGGACGCTTCATCTTGTGGCATGGGAAGTGTTAAGTAGTAATGACAACTGTTTTTCTTTTCGTTCTGTTCATCATATATGTGTATCTTCTCCTTTTCTCATATACATATGTCACTTTCTTCTTTCTGTTCTATAGCTAGGTATTTTCCTCCTTTCACTTTCGGTTGGTATTTTTTAATGTTAGCGCTCACTAGGATTTTACTTATATCTTATGTGGATATTTCCAACATGTCGTGTTATTCATCATCGTATATATAATTGTGATTCTCTGATAATAAATAAGAAAGATACCGAGTGGTAGTGTGAAATCATCTTTGTTCAATAACATATTGGACTTGAGAAAATGTCAAACCTAACACACTATACAAACCATCCAGAAAATGGAAGAATGGTTTATTATAGATGCAACAAAGCCAAACTTCGTGGATCTCAATGCAGTCTAAGTATTTATCTGCTATATCATGCAGACAATGATAAAGTTACCGTTTATAAAAATGAAGCTGAGCACAATCATCATGTTGACAAAGTTCGTGGTATTGATGAAAATGTTAAAAAATGCATAGAAGAATTATATAATGATGGCATAATGAAGCCAAAATAAATTATTCGAACACTTCAAGAAAGAAAAGTAAAGATACCAACGTATACACAACTGAAGAATTATGTTGTATATTATAAAAAAAAGCTTGTTAGCGCAGCCCCTTTAGGGTTGAAATGTGGAACTCACATATGTCCACTAGCCTCATTCAACTAATACAAAAAACGTAAAACGAAAAACCTCTCGTAAACAATGATTGTTTTGCAGGATAATCAATCACAGAAGTAAAAAATTCTCCAATTTCTGCATTTCGAACAAAATTTTTTAATTTTTTTCTACGGGGGCCCAATTTTTTGTTTTCATTGTTGCTATTCGCTCATTATTTTTCATTTTTTTTAAATTCGTCTTTCTTAATTTATCATTCTTATTATTATAATCATTGAATTAATTGACAAATAAGTGTGCTTTACATATCTATGGTATCACACCAGATCTAACACACTATCATATATATTAATCAAGTCATAAATAATGATATTCATTATTTTTCAAAATTATAACTTGATCAATTTTCCAAAAAAGAATATAGAAAACAGAGATGTGCGATTCACGGGTTTCAACCCGCGGGGCCACGTGGCGATGGACGGGTGAGGCCAGAATCTTGGAGATCTGCACGGGTTCGGGTAATGCAGACACACGGGCGATCCGGAGCGGGTAAAGCAGTGAAACGAAACATACAAGGCTCAGGCGGGCGGGGAGTGATGTGCACAGGACGGGCGAGGTGTAAAATTTTTCTTGGAGACCGTTTCGGACGGTAAAAAGCTTTGAAGAGATTTGATTCTCTCATGCATCTAGGAAGCGACGCATATTGATGACTAATCCCTTATTTTTGGCCTATAGAAAGCGGTTTGGCTTCGTGATTTGTTTGTTTCATATTGTTTTTCATACAGAACGCTGATCGATACGTGAAAAAGTGATTACAGTTCATTTGATTCTTAGATCGATCTTTGACATAGACCTCATCGTTATCAATATCCGACATCCAAAGTTATAAATTATTTTCAGATGAACCCTCATATAAACGATCTCACTAAAAACTGCTCATTGTTACTCAATTGCTTGCAGTTACTTCTTTAAGGCTCAATGGATGGTGTGAACTATGTAGAATACATAGGCTATCTGATCTCCGCGAAAGAGAAACAGGAAAAAATACAATTGTTTAAAATCACAGAACAAATATTGCAACACTATCTCCATGATAGATTCCATTTGTCACTGCTGCAGTAAAAGATGAAAGTCATCGCCATCACGTCACTGGAAAATTTGCAGCATATATTTCTTGTAATCCTACTGACGCATAAGCAAACAATCAACTAAACTACTTAAAGTCCCCCCCCCCCCCCAGCAACCACCCTCTCCCACACTTTAATCCACATCTATCTTTATCGTATCTGAATTGGATTGAGCTTATATCTG